CATGTCCGAAGTTATGATCGGACGAGGGATAGACTATAGAGTAGGAACTGGCTAGAGGGACCAGAACAAAGCGAGGAGTGATAGCATATCCGTCTTGACAGAAAGTTTGTCAAGGGATTGACTTCACTTGTTTCTTTGACGAGTTTTAGCTCATCATTGGGCTCAATTTGTTGAAGGAAAAAATTAAGTCTTCTTCGTTGACTATATCCAAATTTACGCTCATTTAATACTTTGCTCCATTTTCTTTACTCTTCAATCTTTGGTTAATGATGTGTTTTTTGATGCTTTATGTCATCACCTAGATCCCTAACTTTTGTTGGGGAATGTACGTTTTTTCCTCTCCTTTCCACACCGCCTTTCCTTCCCATTACGAAAATTTCTGCCTACATCAGTCCTGTTAACTGCTGGTAATTACGAGCACAACTAAGGTTGCTGCCTTGCTATTAAGTTAATTTCGCAAGAGAACCTATCAAAGATTCAATAGGGACAGAAAACTGATTACTGAAGACTTTGGCATCCTCATGATCTAGTCACTTAGATAAATGACCATAAAAATCCATGGAATACTCACTTCAGATTCTTGCAAGGCTGGCCATCAACCTCTCCCACTTCTTTAACACGAGGGAAATTTATTCCATATTATCTACGATCCTCATCCTCGCGTCTTGTCCAGTTGGAGAAGGTTCTTTGCTCTACTGACTTAAATATTTATCAGACAATACGAGTGAGTTTAAGGACTGTCGGTAGTTATTGGTTAAATATGGTCACTTGAACGTCGTATAAAAGCCAAACGGCTGTAGTACAACGGGAATTATCCGTCTACTTCTGATTAGATCGAACTACGAATCTCTCCTTCATGCACTTTCATACAAAATGAGAGTCTCCCCAACTATAAACTCTGTTTATATATGGAACCTATACATTAAGACCAAGTCATCTGTAGCCCTCATTTATGCAGCGTTACCAAATAACGACTATTTTCTGAATTAAGTATGGAAAGGAAAGCAAGTAGAAAGGAATATCGAAGCAGTTACTTGTAAGTAATTTAGTTTATTTCCACATTTTTTAAGAAAACAATGTTCGAGTTTCTTAAGGTAGCTTAATTTGCATATATCCTGCTGGAATTTATTATTTATATTCAGGTATTTAAATATTTGGAACGACTTGCAGATGGCTAATTTGGGCTTATCTACTAGTACAGGAGAAGTGTTATAGGCCAAATTTCCAAGAAGGAAATTAACAAAGTTCTGGATTCCATTCCTTGCAGGATAAAACCTCAGATGGATATAAAATCTAGCTATTCTGACTTCATACAGCTCTGGGTTGGGAGTAACTCTGACGATATCTCTGTTATAGTTACACCATCAATAAATGTTGCCATAAGTCTTTATGAGCCAAGCTATCATTTGGGATACCAGAAAGTTATTTGTTGGCTATAAATTAATGGGCAGCCATCAAATGCACGAATACTTGGAAGCAAAAAATGCTACTATTCAATACAGCACGAAGCTTGTAGTTTTGCATTTTTTGGTATAATTTTATTTTACTAATTGTAAACACTTATTTGTTTTTTGGCTTTTATATTAAATCTGTGGTTTCGCCCCATTTTTTTAAATATTCGGCTTACCTACTCTTATTTTGCGCATATTTCCACCATTCGAATCAGCTTCCTATCAGATCTAACTGGCATGTCCGGAAATAACGCTCACTTATCTTTGAATGAGGCTACCGCCACTTCTAATTCAGATACTACTGTCCAGGTATCCCGCTTGGCCGGACTGGCACCTACCTACTCAGAACGGCCGGATTTGGCATACACTAGCCAGTCTCGTCCAATTTCAATGCAGACAAGGGACTTGGATCCAAAGTGCAGGCCAGGTATGCCGGAGGATCATACAAGAGCTTTGTATGGATTACAATAAATTAGGGATGCTGTCATGGCAAAAAATTAATGAAAAAAAAATAATTTCACATAAGGTGATTTCAATATAGACGCATGTTGCCTACTTATAACCTTGTTTGCATCAAAGGAAATTAATTTGTGGAATAAACCGAGACTTCAATAGGGGTTTAAACTTTCGCCATATTTATTTTAGATTTACTAGCCTTAAGTTACATCCCTACGAAGTAAGAGTTAATTCGAAGTGGACTGATCTCGTTTTCGCAACTTGGTCGTGTTGTCAGGGCGACTATAGTAATTATCATATTTACGAGCGTCGGATTGTGGACTG